GGGGAAGTCAAAGGACGCGAGATCGAAGTCATCGAACAGATGGTCGAAGCCAGCGACCAGGTTCTCTCCTTGCCCTCTCAAGAGTGCTTCCTTCTTGCATCAAATTCACGTTTCCCTCTCCTCAGATTTGCGATTCTGCTGCGATTCTTCCTCAAAAGCACAGTATTGCGCTTCTTCCTCAGAGTCGTCACCATCTGAGACGATTCCTGCTACTAAGGTTCGAACTTAATCTCTGCTCTTTCGAGAGATGGGGATCGTTTGTCCCATGGTACACACCATCCTTCTAAGAAGGATAAGTTGTTTTTTAATTATTGCTACCGGCCTAGACACATTTGTGAGACATTTTGGGGATGCTATGCGTCACTTGCTGGACCACCGGACTTCCACTACTCCTAGAGGTGTATCTTCATCTTCGTTAGGTAACTTAGTCTCTTCTACAAGTGCTTTCCTATCTCATCAGTTTGTGCTTTGGATTATTGATTCTAGTGCCTCGGATCATATGTTTGAGTCTTTTGATCTTTTTTTGAAATATAAGCTCTCTTCAGGTTGGGACAAAGTTTGAATTGCTGATGGGTATTGCTTCTTTTGTTTCTAGGAAAGATTTAATCCTTGCCACACTTTCTGTACCTTTATCTTCAATTTTACATGTTTCCAATTTCTCTGTTAATCTTTTATTATTGAGTCGTCTTACTCACGACTTGAATTGTAGTGTGATCTTTTTCCCTGATCATTGTATTTTTCAGGACCTTATCACGAGGATGATTGGCAGTGGTAGAGCAGAGAATGGTCTCTACATCTTGGATCATGCAGACAAGTTGATCCATCATTCCATCCAGTTTCCGATCACCAAGGAAGACATTTGGCATCGGCGTCTTGGACATCTATCTTTTTTATTACCTAAACATTTATTTCCTTCTTCTTTTATGCACAATAATGTTTCTGAGTTTAATTGCGAGTCTTGTCAACTTGGAAAATAAACACCGAGCCTTCCATTAATTCATTCTAATGTTTGAGGTCCATCTTTTGTTGTTTCGTTAAAAGGTCATAGATGGTTTGTCACATTTATTGATGATTTTCTCATACAACTTGGGTGTATTTATGAAAGAAAAGAGTGAAATTTCCTCTGTGTTTCGCACTTTCCATCAGATGCTCCGTACTTAATTTAGTGCGGTTGTCAAAATTTTGCGTTCTGATAATGGGGGTGAGTATATTGATTCTAGTTTAGGGAAGTATTTTAGCACCCATGCATTCTTCATCAGATATCTTGTACGAACCCCCGTCTGCAAAATGGGGTTGCGGAACACAAGAATCGTCATCTCGTTGATATGGCTTGCTACATGACCTTTTCTGTACAGGTGCCTCCATTTTATTGGGGTAAAGCCGTCCTCACCGCTGCCTATCTTATCAATCACCTCCCTACCCAAGTGTTGCACAAATAAGCTTCTCTTCAAGTCTTCTTAGGTTCTCAGTCTGTGTTTTTTATTCGCCTCAAAGTCTTTGGGTGTGTTTGTTTTGTTCACAATCATTCCCCTACTCGTGGTAAATTAGATCCTCGCTCCATTAAATGTGTCTAACTTGTGTACTCACCTACTCAAAAGGGATATAAGTGTTGTCATCATCCGTCTCGTAAGTGATTTGTGTCCATGGATGTCAGTTTCTTTGAGTCATAGTCCTACTCGTCCTCTCCGATTTCCCGATCATCTCTTCAGGAGGAGCCTTGGTGTGAAGAGATTCCTGGAGTAGGAGTATTACCTATTGCTGAGGATGTAGCATGTGAACCAGCTATTGGGAATAAAGGATCCAATACATTCAAGAAGCAAGTGAAATTTATATTAGGGACAAAGAAAGATAGAAGGTTGGTTACCTGGATCCAAGAGACCACTTCTTCTGATCTTCCACTGCCGTCTCCTTTTACTGATGAGAGTCCAGGTAACTCTAAAATCCTTATTCCTCATGAATATATAGATTTTGATATTTCTATTGCTCAACAGAAGGGTGTGAGGTCTTGTACTTAGCATCCAATCTCTAACTTTGTTTCATATTCTAATTCACCTCCCTCATATAGAGCCTTTGTGTCAAAGATTCCCTCTATCAGTATACCTAATCATTTTCAAGATGCTCTTGCCAACTCTGAGTGGAAACTTGCCATGATTGAAAAGATGAAATCACTTCATAAGAGTAGCACTTGGGAATTGACAAGGTTACTTAGGGACAAACAAACTGTGGGATGCAAGTGGGTGTATACCGTGAAGCATTGGGCGGATGGTTCGCTTTGAGTGTTACAAAGCTTGGCTTGTGGCAAAGGGCTTTACTCAAATCTATGGAGTTGACTATCAAGAGACATTTACTCCGGTTGCAAAGATGAATTTAGTCAAGATACTTCTCTCTCTTGCAGCTAATTTGGATTGGCCTCTTCACTAATTTGATGTGAAGAATGCTTTCTTATGTGGTGATCTAGAGAACGAGGTGTATATGAACATTCCTCTTGGCTTTGAAGATCTTTAGACAAAGGGTAAGGTGTGCAGACTTTGGAAATCATTGTATGGTCTCAAACAGTCTCCAGGAGTTTAGTTTGAGAGATTTACTCGGGCAATGTTTAAATATGGCTTCGAACAGAGTTAGACTGATTATACTTTGTTTATTAAACATTTCTCACACGGTAATACTACAATTCTCATTGTACATGTGGATGACATAGTGCTTACAGGGGATGATGTTGAGGAAATATCTTGGTTGAAGAGATATTTGGCAATCGAGTTTGAAATCAAAGACTTGGGGACCCTGAAGTATTTCCTGGATATTGAAGTTGTCCGATCCAAGGACAAATGAAATATGTTCTTGACCTGTCAAAAGAAACTGGGATGCTTGGAAGTAAAGCTTGTGACACACTGCTAGGGCCAAATTAGAAATTTAGTGATGATAGTGGCGGAGCTGCTGTTGATAGGAGGAGACATCAGAGACTAGTGGGTAAGCTCATTTATCTCATTCTCATCCCGACATTGCTGTTGCTGTCAGTGTGGTTAGCCAGTTCATGCATGCTCTTCACAAGGCACACTCGGATGCAGTTATGCAAATCCTTAAGTACTTGAAATCTTCGTCTGGAAAGGGTCTATACTTTTCCAAACATGATCATCTCAGGGTGAAAGCTTATACAGATGCTGATTGGGTAGGATTAGTAATTGATAGAAGGTCCACATTGGGATATTGTACATATGTTGGGGGCAATTTAGTTACTTGGAGGAGTAAGAAACAGAATGTGGTAACAAGGTCTAGTGCAGAGGCAGAGTTTAGAGCCATGACACAAAGTGTGTGTGAACTCTTGTGGATCAAGTTATTAAGTGATTTGGGAATTGATCAGCCAAACTCCATGCGACTATATTGTGACAATAAGGCTGCTATAAACATAGCTCACAATCCAGTTCAACATGACTGGATGAAACGCGTTGAAATTGATTGGCACTTCATTAAGGAGAAATTCGCTAGTGTCGCTATATGTATCCTTTTTGTGAAGTCTGGCGAACAACTTGTGGATTTTCTCATCAAGGGAGTTGGGAATAAACAATTTCATGATGCTCTTGGTAAGCTGGGAATGAGCGATATTTTTATACTAGTTTGAGTGAGAGTGTTCGCATAATATCTTTATTATTGTCTTTCCTTATTAATTGTCATTATTGTCATTGGCTATAGATTCTTTATTTTGCCTAAAGGCTTCTATTGTAAGTTTCTAGATTAATATAAAAGGGGGTGATAACCTAATCATACCTAACTTTGATTTCTCTCTTAAACAAACAGTGACTAATAGAGGTGATGAGCGGTGGGTAGTTGTCGGAGGGGGTGAGTGGGGGAAAGAAATGAGAACTTGTTTTAAAAACAAATGAAAATAATATATGTTTTTTTATTACAAGAATTTAGTAAATTTTATGAACTGCTTACAATTTCTTAGAAACAAAAATGGACACCAAACGAGTTTTTGTTTAAAGTTGTCAATTTTTTCTGAAGATAGACAAAAAGCTGTAAACATAATGTTACCAAACATGACTTTTTATTTAAATTTCTTATGCAATTTGTAAATTGTAGAAAATGATTTTTTAGTATTTTGATTTATTGAAAGGTAAATATATTTACGAGGTAAAAATGAATGTTATTATTTTTGTGTAAATATATATTTTACATATATTATTTATCATATTGTCCTCACTGTGTATGTATCTGGATCTTTTGAAAATTGCTATGTTAGTGTGTTTGTATCAGCTTATATTTGTGTTTTGTGTTTGTATTTGTTCTTCTTAGAGTTAATGTTCCCCACTTCTATCTCGAGGGCTTACCATCTCTTCAATTGGGGAGGTGTTACTTATGTAAAATGCTAAATAATGTGGAATATGCAAAAAGATGAGTTGTGAGCAAGTGAGAAGTAAATAAAATAATAAATGATTAAAAGAGAGTTGATGGTCTAGGCAAATTATGTTTATATCATTACAGTGATGAAATCCCTTTGAAACCACATTATATGTGTTACGAAGTGATAAACCAATATGTTTACCATCTTTTGTCATCTTTCTGTTGTACTAAGCGCTTCCTACTATCCTATCTGATCATTCTAACTTTTTCTTTTTAAAATTTTCATGTTTCTATTTGTCCTGTACTATTGTGGCATATGAACCAATAATGAAACATTTTGGAGCTCCTTGTGGTGTTGAATTCATACTTCGAAGTCCTCTAACATGGATGCATTTGATTAGTGTTTTGGCCCCATTCAAAACTTCTTTGTTAGGTTTTGACAACAAGAGAGCACAATCTGTTTCCTGACCCCTTCCTCTTACCTGAGGCTGGCACATCTCATTGCTCACTGAGAAGCATTTGTAACCCGAAGATGTTCTTCTCCTCTGACCATGGACGATATTTTATTTTTAAATAATTTTTTTAGTGGTGTGGAAAATAAATATTTGTTGGTAATTGCATGCCTCTGTTGTAACTGTTAGTTCTTTTCGAAATGAAAACAGCTAGGTTCTGAATCCCAGGTCAAATATGTGAAGGCAAAGGATGAGGATGACGGATTGGATGAAGAAGACGAGGAGGAGCATGGGGACACCTTGTGCGGGGCATGTGGAGAGAACTATGCTTCAGATGAGTTCTGGATCTGCTGTGATATATGTGAGAGGTGGTTTCATGGCAAGTGTGTGAAGATCACTCCGGCAAGGGCTGAGCACATCAAGCAGTACAAGTGCCCATCGTGCAGCGGCAACAAGAGAGCGCGACCTTGACTTGACATCCCTTTTGGCTCCGTGGGCACTTCTCATATCTTGTGTACGTCTGTCTCTTCTCATCTCGAACTCAACTAACTGTTTTGTTGGTCAGCTTTCCTTTCTTGCTATGTCAGGAAGGTCTATGTATTCAGTATCATGGTGTTGTCAATCTAGTTTATTATGAAAGTATCTCCTTTTGTTTTCTACTCAATTTGATTCTCAATTGGGATATACACAATTTTTCTGTTGTGGGAGCCTGGTTTTTTATGAAAAACATTTTAATTCTTGATTTAGGAAATTCGGGTGATTTTTGTTGATAAGCTGATGATTGCTAAAAGCTTTTTACAATCCACTTGAACTGTTGTCTCTATGTTATTTAATCATTGGGTTTTGATGTGAAGATTACGAACATTAATGGTTTATAGAAATGAGTTTGGTTGGGGTGATTTTGGTTCTGATGAAAGGAATGGTAAATAATCATTTTTATTTTTATTTGGGTGTTTGTTTAGTGAGAGTGGCGAAAGGTGCAAAAAAATTAGGCTTGGTTTGAGAAGTGGGTTGGCTTTTTAGCTTTTTTGGCTATTTTAGCCTGGGCTAAAAAGCTTGGTTTGGGAAGGGCTTTTTGACTTTTTGGTTTTTTTGACTTTTTTTGTGAGAGAAGAGTGTAATGATTATGGGTTGGATGTGATGTTTTGTTTTTTGTGGCTAAAATAGCCTATTTTGTCTTTTGTGGCTAAAATAGTCAAAAAAGTCTCCAACCCAACTTGCCAAACGGAGCCTTAGTAGGGTAATTTGACTTTTTTAGTATTTTTCTTGCAAAAGATACAAGATTACAATATATGCAAATACTAAGATAGTTGCATAGGCTAAAAATATACTAGAGGATGAAGGGGCACTACCAGAAGAGAATCTAGTAACAGGCCATTGACAAACTTTGATAAGCAAACAACTTCAAACATCACAAAGCATTGAAGATGGTCGTGAATATAAACCGCCAAGTATGGCTACCAACTACCAACAAAAAACACCTATAAAAAAAAGTACTTGAATCACAAAACCAAAACAATACGTATTATTAAAAATTGTGTTTAGGGTCAATTGACAAGTGAAAAATTGACAGACAATACTTAAAGTTTACCAAATACAGAAGATTAAGCAATGTGGTTGACTTTCATGCTTTGAAAGGTCAAGGACTTTTTTGGAAGAAAATAAACAAAGAAAGACACGAGTAAAAGGAACTGAATTGATATAAATCAAGTAAAATTATTACTTATATGAACTTAAATAAGAAAAAAAAAACTTAAAATATACCAATCAACTGGAAATTATAGCTGAACTAGTACTAATTGTTTGCTAAATGGCTACTGCTAGATATCACGTTTGTGAATTGGGTTGAAGGTCCTTTATTCCTTTGAAATCTTCAGCTTTTATACTTGTTTGGCTTCCTGCTAATGCAGCCACAAGGTAGCCACACGCATCACCTTGATCTCGACCTCCATTTATCCTTATCTCTTCTTCATAGGAACCGTTTTGCAGATCATGTGCTTTAACCTGGTTCAACCTCCTTAATTTCAACAATCATTCCAACAAACTATAATAGCTAACCTTCCTTGACTTTTATTTTAATTTTCAAAAGCCACGCCATTATCTTTATCATGCCATACCACCAATACATCTGTCATGTCACGTTAACACTTTGTTGATAAGAAATTTTACAGAATTTAGCGCCAACAGGTGCATAAGCAAATTAAAGTGTGATTTATAGAAGAAAAAAATGACATGAATAAACAAAAAATAGTAACAAACAAGAACAAACAAAAGAAGATAACAAATAACAAAGATAAAACTCAATTTAGATAACAAATAGAATAGGTCAATATTTGACAACATATTGAATAAATCAATATTTGATAAATCTCAATTTAAAAATTATTTTTAAAATTTTGTAATGCAGGGTTGCAAATTTTTATAATTTTGAGAGTGCGAAATACTCTAGTTTAAAATTATTTTAAATCAAATCGTAACGTAATCAAATCAACTATAGATTATACAATCGGATTTTTCAATCAACTCGACATGCTATCGGGCACACATGAGAGAGAGTGCTACACTTATATCACCAATCTAAGCTATCAAAACTTGGTTATATAATGTAACCGTCTCTCTACTCATTAGCAATTGATTTTGAGGATGCTTCAACAATATTAATATTGAGAAATGAAATACAAAAGAAAGCTAAGTGGTGAAATGCATTACATAGTGAAATGCATTATATAGTACTGGAGTTACATCCCAATTAGATTAACACCTGAAAACAAATAAAAATATGTGCAACCGACATAGCACAGCACCTAAAAACCATCAACCGAGCTGCATCAAAGCCACGCGAAAAGCCAACGAGGCACCAACTTCAGAACACAAACTTAAGATCAAAAACCGAACCAGAAAAAAAGTAAAGCAACACAAAATTTAAGATGACGGTTTCAGACTCTGTTTATTTTTTCGTAAAGTATTTTTTTAAAAAAAAATATTTTACTTATTTTCTATTATTTGGTTGAATAAAAAGTCAGTGAAATATGTTTTAAGGAAATTATTTTTGCATCATTTTTAAAAAAATGACTTTCCTTTAAAAATTTTGTAAATCAATTTTTATAAAGTTGACATTCACTACCTCTTCAACACATTTAGTCTTTTCAAATAAGTATCTTACCTCACTAAAAAATCATAAATAACACTTTATTAAATCAAAATTTTTCTTTTAGACAATAAAATGTTTTTGGTTCACGTGTCAACCAAACACTAAAAAACAAAAATAAAAAACATATATATATATATATATATTTTTTTTTGTGTAAAATCAATTTATAAGAAAAATATTTTTTTTGTGTAAAATATTTCACACTCAAATGATTCATATTTGGGTGGGGCGGTTTAAGTTTGGTCATTATTGGGGTGTTACGGATAGTATGAAAGCAGGGGTTTGTTTTTTTCTTGCTTTTATCATGGTGGGTTCTTTTTTTGCTTACGTCGTCAACATTTTAGAGATCTTCACCCACTCTTCATACATTTTTGGCAAACAAGAGCATCTTGGGAGGCTTAGAAAGATAAAGAATGGGGTAGTTCTCATCGATGGAAATTATTTTGCTATTTTGTACTAGGTTTGGATTTCGAAGATCAACAATGATTCATCCCTCTAATTTTGGAGTTCTAATTGAGCACTAATGAGGTGGAAATTCAAAAAAGAAAAAAAAGAAATCCTAAAGCCAAAACATCACATCAATAAGTGGAGTTCACCCCCTAGAGCTCCTTTAGAGTTCATAGTTTAGAGCTCCCAAACATTTTCCTTCGAAGATCCAGGGTTTGCTCTGCATGTGTCTTTGCCAAACAACATCAAGTTGGGAGGCTCAGTAACGTGTGAAGTAATTCATGGTTAACTTTTCTTTGATGATTGTAGTTTTTTTACCTCCTCTTTATACATTTTTGCCAAAACAAGATCATCTTGGAAGGTTCGAGAAGGTAAAGAGAGGAGGGAGTTGTCATCATTGGATCTAACGATGATATTTTTGTTATCTTCAGTTGAGATTTCAAAAACCCATCAATTACTGTGTGCATGCTTTTCCTGAACAATAGTGGTTGTATATTGTCTTCTTGATGCGATTGTTACTATTTTGATTATTGTCAAATACTTTTGTTCTTAGAAGCAAATTTATATGCACAAGTTAAACCGAACACTCAATTATAAAAACAAAAAAGTACTATTTGCCTGTATGTAGGGGTTCAAGAATGTTGTCGGAAAATTCAAAGATCTTCAAAGATCGTAGGAAGATCCGAATTCTCTAGAAATGATAAGAGAGACGGTCACAACTAAAAACACAATAGTAAGGAGATGATGGAGATAAGAGATTAGGTGAAGAAGGCATAGTAGTTAGAGAAAGAATAATGACAAGGCTCTCCCATGGATCTCCCATTTTCACTCTCAAGGTAGATGATGGAGAAGGGAAATTAGTTCTTTCTCCAAAATTGTATCTCCAAAATCCATCCCTTGTAAAGCTATGGGTGGATGCTATTTATAGGCACCTTATGATGTAGGATGGAGCCCATGTGCAAGGCACATAGGGAATATTCCCTCTAACTACCTTGTCCGAGGAGGTCACCTCTCCGAGGATGAGGAAAATTCCAAAGAGGAGATCAACCTCTCAGCGAACACTTCTTCTTAGCCACACCTAACTAATGATCCCCAATCATCCCAAAGGGTCAAGGGTAGTCCCAGAGGATGACCTGCCGCAGAAGGGTCAGTGGTAGTTCAAGAGAACGCCCTGCTGCAAATATTGTCGAGTCTCAGGGACCCCATAGATCGTGCCACCTCGACTCGGGTATAAGCTAGTTTAACCGAAAGGTGAATTTATCTCCACTCACCATCCTCGAGATCCGAGTCCTTTGTTCGGACTCCGTTACGCTCATGGTTCTGGCGCGTAGATCCCGGAAAGTTTCTAGTCCGCAAGTGTTCTGGGACTCATTAATGGAGCGGCTTCTAGATCGCTCCCAAATTCGTTCGAGGCCAAGCGTTTTGGATCTCTAGGTTTGAGGATTCGAACCCTTTTGAGTCCGAGCTCAAATAGGTCTTTAGGTTCATGGTTCCGAACGCTTTCAAGACCAAGCCAATACCTCAGAGAATGTCCTCCAAGGGTTTCCTCTTTTCTAAAAACAATGGTTAACCTCCTCGGACACTCGTATGATTTGAGCCTCCTTGGATGGGCTTGTTGGGCTTTCTTTAGAGATATATGCTTAAGAGGTCTTCCTCGACCCAATTTGTTGGCTTTCGTATGGGCCTGTTCAATAGAATTCACTTGGGCCCATTTGTCAATAATTTCTCCAAGCTCACCATTATTTGGGCCTTCCGATTGGGTTTCGATTCGGCCCAATTAATTTAGTGGGCTCAAGTTAACCACTCTTACATTTTGCCCCGTGCATGTATGGGAAATTTTGAATTTCTCAGACATGCATATTTTCACTGCTTCGGCCATTTTTCGTTTCATTTCCTTCGGCATGTGTTATTAGGTTCTTTTGAAATCTTAAAAAATTGTTTAGAATTTCATCATTTCAACCTCGCAGTTGCATCCAGAACGGTCTGTTTAGCTAGGATCAACATTCGCTGCATTTTTGGGAGCCTTACTGAAATACTTTCCCGAGAGGTGGGCCACACCACATTTGTCTAAAAAATCGAGACCAAATTATAATTTTCAAAAAATCAGGGAATATTCTGCCAATACCAAGGAATATCTGCCTGCATCATGTTGCGTCAGCCTTGTGTTATGTTTCTCTCAAATAAATATTTAAACACTTGAATTTGATGAATGTGTAGGTGTTATGTCATAGATGCACTGAATAACTCCTTGTGCATTGCTTGGGCCCACGCAACTTTCCTTCATTATTTTGATTCCAGATTTTTTCAAATCCTTACTATTTGATTCCTCAATCCAAACTTTTCTCCTCCAAGTCAAAAGAAAATTAACTAACAGGAAGACCCACATTTTCTCTCTCCAAGAAATTGAAAACCCATATATATATATATGCTCTTAGAATAATTGAGAGACTACCTAACCATACATTTTTTTCTTTTTTCTTTTATATATATATATATTTTTTATTCTGCAAAATTCCAAATCAAAGGCCTCTATATGTATATACATCCTGAGGCTAAGTCAGCATCACACTTTTCATGCTCCAAGAAAAAGGACATACCTAATCCTTATCTTTCTCTCTCTTTTTTTTTCTTTGAAAAACCCATTCTGGCTTACTCTCTCTCTAAACCAAGACCAACCCAAACTTTATCTTCTTCAAAGAAGCTCTGTATCTGTAATACCACATGGTCACTGTCGCTAGGGTTGGCCCTGAGGTTTAGGGAGCCCAAGCCGAACTTCGAAAATGGGCACTCTTACATTTTAAAAAAAAATTTATAGTTAAAACAATAAGTTACAACTTTTTTATTTGTTTGTAGCCACAAAAAAATTTACTTGTACATATAATCATTAAAATTATAAATAAAAATTTACTTTCATATATTAAGATAGGAAGCAATCATTACAAATACTTTAAAAAAAATAAAAATCTAGTCTTGCTGCTTTTTTTTGAGCCCCATGTTCAATTAGACCTATAGTATTTGGGCCTCTTTTTTTATATCTAAAACACAAAATTATATTTGGGGATCCCTATTTTCAGTCCAAATTTGAGGGCCCAAGGCGCAAGCCTTTCTAGCCTGCCCTCAGGGCCAGCCTGACTGTCGCTTGCTCACTGCTCGTTGGTGCAACTCCAGGAGCTGTCGGCGCCGAAGACCCACACCACTTTGTATACCGTCTATTGCCACAACTTCAGATATCATTAATGTCGCATCTTAGCCACTGGTTCATGCCAACACCAGCTCCACCTCATTTCGGTGCTTCACGTTCTCCACCTGCAACTTCACTATTGTCTTCAGCCGTGATCTGGCCAACGTTGACCACGCCACCTTTTCATCACGGCATCAGTCTACCTAGCTGCTCCGTCGCTTGCACATCGCCTACTACCGCCATTCCAGGCGCCGTTGTCGACTTATGTGAGAATCAACCATGGCGTTGTCCTGCACGCGACCACTCAACTCTCATGGTTTGTTCTTCTTACACCTAGCTCATACACCGTTGCTTCATTTGTCAACCATAACTGACCATTGAAGGCCATGCTGCCCACTCAACGCGGCGTCGATCTGACCATATCCTTTCTCGCGCATTGTCCGTGCTGTCATTCTCAACCTACGCCGCTTTTGATCTTCATTCTCTTCCTACTCCTTCGGATTTGTGAGCAAGTGTTCACCGAAACCCCATTCTTGAATTTTTGATTTTTCTGATACATATATATATATATATATATTTTGTTGCTCATGAACCTGGGCTTGCAAAGAATATATTTGGGATCTGTGTTCTTGACTTCTGAAATAGCTAGTGCTTTGTTATTAAGGGAAATAAAGCTCTTGTTGAATCTTGATTTGCATGAAAAATGTAGTCTTGAAATTCATGTTTCGAAACTTGACCTTGTGTTGATAAATCTGATATTAATAGAATATTTGATGCTCGCATTGAGCTATTGATGTTAAGGGCAGAGATGTTATATGAATGATTGTTGTTGCTAGCTTCAAGGATAGTGGATGTCATGCTCGAAAACTCTTGATGTAGAATTCCTCGTAGAATTTGTTGATATGATGAAATACTTTGTCGAAGAATAAAAAATGATATATTGCTGTTTGTTGAACTCATAGATCATCGGAGAAATAAATAGTTGATGCCGACATTTTGTTTGAACATTGTTGCTTTTCGGCTTGAGAGGAACTAGTCCGGAGAGCCAAAACCTTGATTATTTCATTTTCATGAACTTGCTCGGAGGAATAGAATTGTTGTAACTTAAATAGATCATTATTATTTGTTGGTATTGCCCCATTCCGATAATGCCTAAATCTTGATATGAAATTGATATTGCTCATCCTGTTTGTCAGCTTTGCTATTTCAAGCGAATGAATTCTTGTGCAAAATTTACGACCCCGGGGCCCTTAGAACCCACACTAATGAGAGCATGGGATGTCCCTCGGAAGTCCGAACGGAAGCAAGGCTGCCTCTCAGGAGTCCGAATAGTAGCACACACCATACTTCGGCAAGAAATATCCCTTCTGACAGGCAATCGAGTCTCGAGGGCTGTTCTTCGGAAGTCCAAATGGGAGCACACATTCAACCTTAGTAAGAAAGATCCTCGAAGCTTGCACTGATGGAAGCGAGGTATGTTCTTCAAAAGTCTGAGTGGGAGCACACACTCTACTTTAACAAGAAAGATCATCGAAGCTCGTATTGATGGAAACAAGAATTGTTCCTCAAAAGTCCAAATGGAAGCAAGGGCTATCCCTCGGAAGTCCGGGTGGAAGCACATTCCTTTTTTTGGCAAGAAAGATCCCTTCTGGCTGGCAACCGAGTCTACTACTCCCCCTTCTTCTTTAAGGGGCGACAAAAATTAAAAATTGTCTCAAGCAACATAACACAATGAAGATACATAATATAATAAACTTCTAATGAAGATACACAATATGGAGGAAATAAATTTCTTCATAACACAAGAAAGATAAAACTTCTTGGATAATGCAATAAATACAAATTGTAAATGTCATGGATAGACCTCTTCTAAGGAATGTCGACCCTTGCTCCCAGTTACCAGAGTTGCAAGGACATTCGAAAAACTTTCACCAGTTGCTCGGGTTATGGCCGTCATACGCCATGATAGCCACGTCTTCAAAGATATCCTAGGGCCCTTGTTTTTTGAACTCTAGCTCATCTGCTTCGACTTTGTTTCTAAAGATCTTCTTAAGCGTCCGACATTTTTTTGTAGGATATCCTAGTGATTGGTGGAAAACACAATAATTAGGGCCCTCGTGGTCTTTCTTCGGCAAAAGCTCTTCGATATGAAGCAACTTCAGTTCCTCGTCTGCCACCCATTCTTTAACTAAGGCCTTCACGTCCTCAACACTACATGGAAAAGGAGTGTCATCTCCACAGTTTTTCCTCTTCAGCCCTCTGAATCGCTTCCCTATTGACTTTCAAGTAGAAACCGCAAAAGTCGCAGTGACAGAAGGTCATCGGGATGACTTGAAGCTGGTTTTATAACTAGTCTCGAACCCGATCTCTTGAGACTGACGTATGTTGATGCTTCTTGATGCTTTAATTAGTGTCGAGAATGTGGGTAGCTTATGATTAACAAGAAGCATCTTGTACCCATTCAATGCCCCTTCAACACAGATTTGGACCAAGTAGCTTTCCTCTACAGCCTCGTGACAGTCCATAGCTTTGTTTTGAAACCTCTTTACATATTCGAGCATGTATTCATCCTCTCGCTACTTTTCCTTACACAGGGTGAGTATGGTCATTTTCTCGGCCACTTGAAAGAAATTGGTGTATAATTTGTTGACCATCTCCTCCCAACTTCGGATAGAGTTTGGGGCCAAGTTAACGTACCAACTATATGTTCCATCGGTGAGGGACTTGGAGAATTCTCTCAGTTGGAGGACATGATTTGAACCATGAATCCCCAAAGTCTCGTGAACCGAACAACATGTTCTTGAGCATTTCCTTGCTTGCCATCGAATTTGATGAACTTTGGGCATCGTGTACTTCTTTGGGTATGGATAACTCAACATCTCGATAGGGTATTGTAACAACCCGACCCTCATAAATGCTTGTGATATATGTTCGTCCTTTATTCTGTGCTATTAAATGACTAAGATGAAGTTGTATAAGAGAATAAGGTCAAGTAACTATGTTGTAATGCCTTGTGGAATGAATTGTATCTGTTAGGAAAGAAACGTATCTGTTACTACTCGAATGATAAAGTAGAAATTGAGGGCCTTAGCAGTTTAATAAATCAAAATTGATCATATATTTGGAATCAGCATAATTTTTAGGTAATATTAAGCACTTTTGTGAAATTTCAATTTCGGACATGTAAACGATAGATTTTCGTCTTATTCTCTCCTTATAGATGTACATATATATGATCTTGGTCATTTGACAAACAAAAAAAAAAGAGAGAGAACTCATCACTCTAGACTTGAGAAGTGAAGGGATAGAGAAAGAAGATCCTCAAGAAGGTTGAGATTTGGGCTTAAGGTATGTACATGTTTGTCTAATTTCTATCCACAACTCTTCTTGTCATAATTTATGTGAAGATGTTTCTATGATCTTGTTCCTAAGAGTTGGAATTGTGGTGTTGTGAGTATGAAAAGTAAATGAGCAAAATGACCTTACCTTGCATGTTTTGACTCAATTTGAAGTCCCTACGAGAGACCTCACTCTATGTCTTCACTTGACTTGTTTGAATTCAAGTATGTGATATAAATTTGTGTTATGAGTTGAGATGTGAGAACAAGTAGAAATCTTGTGAATTGGAGTAAATTTAAGTTGTGAATTTATGATTTGATTTTTTTTACTCAAATGAAAGATGTAATTTGATCCTTGTTCACATGTATTTACATGCTTTGAGCTTATATATTGGTAATTTAAAACTAGATTTTTGAGGCCCTAACCATGTCTACAAGAGGAGAAAATTGTGCAGAATTTCGGAGTTTTGGTGCAGAATTGCCGCACGTGCGGGAAAATGGCAAAATTTCGGACTTCAACACTGCGGAAAAAGCACGTGCGGGGCCTCAATGCCGCACGTGCGGGAGGTGTGCCGCACGTGCGGGAGATCCTAGCCGCACGTGCGGCTCAAGGCAGAAAAGTTGGGATGCTCCGTTTTGCCTGTTGGGCCCTCTAATGTTGTCAAAACCTGCAATTTATATTGTTTGAAAGTTCGTTAATTTAATCAAAGTAAGTGAACCGAATGTTGATTTAACAAGGATAAAAAGGGACTAATGTGATTTTTCATGTGTGTAGGAAACACCTCAAAAGGAAGTGCACTGCCACAACACAGTGAGTGATAGTACTTCAATGTATCCCTACTCAGTATTTATAATTAATGACGTTGTGACCTTGTAGAAAGTATCATCGTATGATATACTGACGTTATATCTTGACGTTATGAATGTCACTATTAAACTTGTGTTGGCATGAAATGATTGGTATGAAATGACATATCTGCTATAAATAATTTACTAATGGAATGTATCAAGGCAATTGTGAATTTGTGAACCAATGTGGCTTAGAGCCATTTGTGAGTCAATGCGGCTACGAGCCTAATGTGAAACTACGTGACCAAGGGTCATTTGTGAATTGTGAACCAATGTGGCCAAGGGCCGTGTGTGAATGATGAATTTATGAGGTCAAGGACCGATGTGTGAAATATGAACTTATACTATTGTAAGCTTGTGAAACAAAAGAACCAAAGGTCTATGTGATGAATTGTAAATTATGAACCCAAGGACTCTTTTCTGAATATGTGAATTTTTTAGGCCAGGGGCCACATTATGACAATTATAAACCGATTATGTTGTCCCAACAAGCCGTACAGAGACAGACTAATTACATGATTTCAGCATTAAATATGTTTACAAGCATACTAGTACTATTGTTCACTGAGCTTGGCTCACCCTATGTTATGTCTGTTTCTGTAGGTAATCAACCAGGAGGTCGATCTTAGCTCGGCATCGTCATACTTTTGTCAGCCTAGGCACAGCCAAGCTTGGGGTCGGGACCCTACTTTTGTGGAGTTGTTAGATGATGACTCACACTTTTGCTATTGGCTTAAGTTGTTATGTACTTAATGTTTTTGTTATATACCCCATCTCGGGGTTAGTTTTGTATATGCCTGTAAATAACTAACTCTTAAATGTATTTTGGCTTTTGATGTACTTGACCTGTGAAATGTTTTTGATCCTGGCATGACTTAGTAGCTCAATGGATGTCATACTTTCTGGTTTTTATCAATTATGTTTTATAGCTTCCGGGCAGGCCCCTCTATGAAACCAGGTTAAGTGTCATTTTCTGTTTAGGTCATGCCCAAACTTTTAGGGGCAAGTTAGGGGCGTGACAGGTATGATGGCTTGACATCCGGATTGGGTAAAGAGGGTAAAGTCCTCTTGCCCCGTTTGAGATCGAACATGGCTTGTACATCGGCAAGAGTGAGAAATTATTGAGGGAGAGAACTTGATGGTGGTATTTTCGGAACTTAGCTTGTAGACTCGAAGAACGAGCCTGGAGTGACTTGGCTATTTGGGTGTCGAGAATTCACCATCGGTGTATGAATGTGGTGATATTGACCATTGGCATCTATGGATATGACATTCAGTGATGGAGCATTGAATTGAGTTCCATAAACTCCATTACACGCCATGGGTATGCAGGGTTGGGCTTGGAAAGCCGTTGTCAGAGCCAAAGGAGACCCGCTCAGTACATTAGTAGAATTTACAATCATTGGAACAAAATCAGGCATGGATAGAGCACCATTTTGTAGAGAAATTTCTATGGGCCTTCCTTGAACTTCCACAGGCACTGGAACACCATTCATCGTGCCAGAAACTCCTCCAACCACCGATGGACCATGGCTCGATCCTATAGGTACGTGATTTTACGCTCCATGGGCCACAGGTTGGCCATGACTTGTTCCTCCTAGCACTTGATTTTGCACACCATTTTGAGCAACTTCAGGGAGAATTGGGGGTGGGTCTTGATGGTTTTGACCATTCCCAACATCACCATGAAGTTGTTGATGCTTGTCGGTACCGACTTGACGTCTATTTGTTGCTGGTGGTGCGAAATTCGAACCCATCACCAACATGGTGTGGGTGAGATTTTGAAGGGTCGTGAGAATCTCTTGTTGAGTGTGTTGGAGTCCTTGAATGGCTTCAAGGATAAGAGGTGGATCTTGAACTTGAGTCCTCTCATCACCACCATTGGAAGAGCCTTGTTGATGAACTTTTTCTTCTCCTGCCATCTTCACCGAAGTTGTGTAGATTCAGAATCTTGTTGAGACCATTAACCAATCCGCCTCCCAAGGGAAGTCGCCAAAATGTATGTAGGGGTTCAAGCATGTTGTCAGACAATTCAAAGATCTTCAAAGATTGCAAAAAGATCCGAATTCTCTAGAAATGATAAGAGAGGCTTAGATTCTTTAACGATCACAACTAGAAATACAATAGCAAGGAGATGCTAGAGATAAGAGATTGGATGAAGAAGAAGGCATATTAGTTAGAGAGAGAATAATGGCAAGGCTATCCCATGGATCTCCCACTTTCACTCTCAAGGTAAATGATGGAGAAGGGAAATTAGTTCTTTTCCCAAAATTGTCTCTCCAAAATCCATCCCTTGTAAAGCTATGGGTGGATGCTATTTATAGGTACCTCATGATGTAGGATGCAGCTCATATGCAAGGCACATGGAGAATATTCCCTCTAACTACCTTGTCCAATGAGAGGTAACCTCTCCGAGGATGAGGAAAACCCCGAAGAGGAGATCAACCTCTCGACGAACCCTTCTTCTTAGCCATACCTAACCAATGATCCCCAATCATCCCAAAGGGTCAGGGGTAGTCCCAGAGGATGTCCTACTGCAGAAGGGTCAGTGGTAGTTCAAGAGAACGCCTAGTAGCAAATATTGTCAAGTCTCAGGGACCCCCTAGATCATGCCACCTCGACCCGGGTATAGTCTAGTTTAACCGAAGAGTGAATTTATCTCCACTCACCATCCCCAAGATCGGGTCCTTTGTTCAGACCCCATTATGCTCATGGTTCTGGTGCGTAGATCCCGAGAAGCTCCGAGTTTGCAAGTGTCTGGGACTCATTAATGGAGCAGTTCCTTGATCGCGTTCGAATTCGTTTGAAGTCAAGCGTTTCAGGTCTTTAGGTTTGTGGATCCGAACCCTTTCGAGTCCAAGCTCAAATAGGTCTTTAGGTTCATGGTTCTGAATCCTTTCAAGACTAACCTAATACCTCGGAGAATGGATCTCCTTGGAGGGTTTTCTCTTTTCTGAAACAATTGTTAACCTCCTCTGACGCTCGTATGATTTGAGCCTCCTTGGATGGGCTTGTTGGGCTCTCTTTAGAGATATATGCTTGAGGAGTCTTCCTGGACCCAATTTTTTTGGCCTCCCTTTGGGCCTGTTCAATAGAATTCACTTGGGCCCATTTGGCAATAATTTCTCCAAGCTCACCATTATTTGGGCCTTCCAATTGGGCTTTGATTGGGCCCTATTAATTTAGTGGGCTCAAGATAACCCCTCTTACAGTGCCTTTGTTGTTAATTAGGATGTGTGGATACCATGACTCTTGATGCACCACCCACATATCGGATTTGGCCCTTTTAAATCTAGTGACTCATCTAGGTCTAAATTGGCAATACATTGTATGTTTATCCCATAAATTGATTTAGCCCACAAATTGCCAAATTAAAACTGATTCACTTAAACAGTAGTCGCCACCTAATTTTTATAGGGAACTAAGAAATTATTTAGCCACTAATTCGTCACAACCAAAGGATTTGATTTGGGAGTTTAGGTACAAGAGGAGAATGTCACTAAGTTGAGCAACTTTTTTATCCAATTAATTGATTGACCTCTATTAATTAACTTTTTACTAGATTTATTCCTTTATTTGATTTTCATAAACTCGATTATTAACCTAAAAACTAACATCTATGTGATTTGAAAAGAAAGAGGGAATCACTAATTTTGAAAACTTTGCATACTTTTCATGATTTTCTTTCCAAAAATAATTTTAAGAAACTTTCCAAAAAAGAAAGTTTTCAAATCGAGATTTTCTTTCCAAAATTGATTTTAAAAGTTTTCAAAAACAAGACTTTCCAAAATAGAATGAAAATATTCCCAACTTAAGCAATATTACCCAAACAAGCATATATATGGCAAGTAAGCATCAAAACATGTTCAAATAGAAATACAATGCAAACACATGCAACATAAAGAAGAAACAAAGGCCACGTTTATTTGGCGGATTAGGTTGGATGGGATTACGAATATGGTGGGATTGAGTGAGGGGATTAGTAATGTTGTGGTATTAGATTGGAGATATAAGATGAAAAGTATTTATTTGTACACCACCAGATTAGTAATACCATAACAAAAATTCTTATTTGTTTTGCTATTTTTAAATGGGATTAATATGTGAAATTCCATAAATTCCCTTATTCAATTGACAATAAAATCTGGACAAGGCCCAAACTAACAAATGCATGAAGAACAAAATTTGGGTAGGTTAAATGTTGAACCTGGCTATCAAATATGGGCATGGCTTTCTTATTCTAATTTGCTTGACCAAATGATTAATAAGTATGGGTAAACATGCCAAAATTTGAACCTGTAAAATTAGCCTGTGCAAAAGCAAAATAAGTTAAATATTAAATAATGCAATTGCATGTTACATAGGCAAAAATTATCATCCTAATGTATAGACAAAAATCACTATCTTCTAAGAGAGAGAACAATAACATTAACCACTAGAAACATATATTCATTTATAACATAGTCCACCAACATGTCCAAAATATATGAAATTGACTGTTCCCATTTACTTACAAAAAAGTGAGTGTGATGCCCCTAAATAAATATAATAACCCATCTAGAACATCAATAAGTGACAAAATGATAAACTAATTATCTTCCACTTGTTTCCAATTAAGTTTTACAAAAGAGTAACATGTGCTGATATACATTCACAAGCCTAACCCCGAATCTATAGCATATGTTACATAATAAAGAAATAGGATGAAAGTCAAATAAATAAGAAATACCCTAATATTGTGTTTGGTTGGGGGATTTGAGAAGGGATTTGGAAAGGAAAATGGAAAAAATAAGTGAAATGTGAATAAAATATACCTACATTTCACCTAGTTTCACACACCTTTTCCCTTTCCCTTTCCCTTTCCCTTTCCCTTTCCAAATCCCTCTCCAAATCTCCCAACCAAACACAACAAAAAGGCTTACAACTTTCCAAAACTGTGCTTGGTTACAACAAAAGTGGATTTAAGTCTAATACAGTTAAAGGCCCTTGGCATGTACAAAACATATACAACAATTAACAACATGAAGCTCTTGCTCCAAGTCCTCCCAAGCTATTGCCTTGGTGGAGGTATATCATCGGCACCTAAAATGTTTTTCTCACATAGGGTGAGCCAAAACCCAGTAGAAATAATTCAACACAGGCTTGTAATTACTATAGCTCCCCAAAAGCTCATCTGACCCCAAGGTGGTACATGAATCTTAACAAAGATATAAGGTGAATGCATATGCAATGCTCGTGCCATAACATTTTACATCTCTTTCCAAAACCATGCAATGCTAACTAAATATCATAATTCATAAATCATTTCCTTTACAATAGAAAACAGGGTAGTGAATCACACTTTGGGAACCTCAAAATAAATACAACATTTCATGGAAATTTTGTCCGCGGGAAATCGTAAATCGGTACCCATGTAAACGTAGGTTATATAAGCACTACTGTTGCCATTTCACGAAAATTTCATCCGTAGGATCGGCACCCATGTATACATGCGGTTTTTAGGACTTTCACCATGGACACTCAAGCCAACTTATTTCATTGAGACAATACATATTTTCCAGATTCACCCATTTTTCTCAAAACGATAAACATTTCCAATGTATAAGTGTGAGATAATGCTCAATGCAAATGAATGAGAAAATAGTTTCAATTCTCCCAATTCTCATACAATTTCTACAACAATCATAGCTATCCTCCGCCGACAGTCCAAAACAGATATTTCTAAACTGATAAATGATTATCAATAAAGATAAAGTTTCCAAATTTCAAAATATGAGTGATAATACATATCCAACTCCATTATCCTCCTCAATATCAAACCAATTCCATATTTACAACAT